CCAACAGATAAAAATAATGACTACTATTATTTAAAGAAAAAGCGTTAATGATTGACATATTATTCCATAGGCGTAGAAAAAATTATTTTTACATCTTCAATCCATACATTTTTTTGTTTTTTCAAAATAATCTCTGTTAGAGTACTCATTATTTCTCTCTTTGGCTTTCGTAAGTAGAATAAAATATTTAAAAAATACTTTGAGAAAAAAACCTGTTAAATTTTATGGTCAAAAAATTGATAAATCATATCTACAAAATAAAATAAAACCATTATCTTAAAAACTAAAGTTCTACTCGCTAGTATACCTTAGGGTCTGATAACTTAATTACACTAAACTAACGTTTAACACTAAACCGCACAATGCTCTGCTTTGTTATTAACACAATCACTTAGATAACTCAAAAGGTTTCACACTCTTGAGTCTTCTTATCAGGTTCGTGTTGTCAAAAAGCTGGATCGCCTCAACGTTCACATGTTGGTGGGGCCGTTGTTCGTGACTTCTAGCGAATCTGGTCAACAGTGTCCATCTGAAGGTATCGATGAAGGTCGCTGATTCTAATGTACTAAGGAGCATCAACAATGTTCCTCAATACTTTGTTCTGAAATCTTTGGATTATTAGAGCTGGCACAACCCCAGAGCTGTAAGCCATAGGTCCAAATTGGTTTCAGAACTTGCTTATATAATAGAAGTTTGTTATATGTAGATAGGCTGGAATGCCTACCAAGTACCCAGTACATTTTCTTGTATTTTATATGTAACTCTTTTCTTTTTAACATGGACTTTCCAGCGTAGTCTTGCATCTAATGTAATACCTAGATAGTTTGCCGAGTTAGCATAAGGGACCTGAGCATTATTTTTATTAATTGGTATTCTTTGGCCATTTTTGTTAGTAAAATTAATATTAACAAATTTGGTTTCGTTTAGTTTAATACGCTATCTTTTGGTCCAATTATTTATTTAATTAAATGATGTTTGTAGTTTATTTGCTAGGATGGCAGTGACTTGTTCTAGTTGGAGTATGTCACAAGTGTATAACAGATACAATGTGGGTCACTGGACGCTTCCCTGTGGTACTCCTGCTTTTTTTTCAATTCATAGTATGCTTCATCTTGTTTTACTCTAAAGAATCTATCTGAAGTGTATGAATCCAATGGCTCCGAAAATGGCTGTGAAAGTAGCACATTCAGTTTATATTTTAAGGCATCATGCCATACTTTATCAAAAGCCTGCGCAACATCGAGGAAGATGGGTGAACAGACTTCTTTGTTTCCTAATAGTTTTTTAATCGCATTTGAGATTCTATGAACCTGATGTATAGTTGAATGGTTCTCTCTAAAGCAATAGAGATATTGGCCTTTATAACGAAACTTAGTTCGGAGGTTTTCCTGGCTTGGAGATCATAATGACTTCAGCTACTTTCCACTACCTTGATTTGAATGAGGCATTTAAACAGGTGTGTAAGTTTAAATATGGCTTTCTTCGGAAGTTGTTTTAAGATTTCTCCTGTAATTAAATCAAAGCCAGGATCTTTCTTAGGATATAATATTTGTTTTTATATCTTCTGCAATTTCCTTTGGAGAGGTTGGTCTGATAATGGAGTCATCTCTCTCTAGAGGAGCCCAGTTCGGTAATTCTTCTCCTTCATTTGGTTGAGAGGTATTTTGTAAGTGCTCTGCGAATCTATTAACTTATTGTATATTATTTCTAGCCCAGCTGCCATTTGAATTTCTAATTGGAGCATTCTGCACAGTGGGCCTTTTTAATCGGTTTGTGGCTTTCCATAGAGAATAATCAATGGATTTATCGTTTCTCAACTCATTAAGGTACTCACAAATAGATTCATTTTTGATTCGTTTTATCTCTCTTTTTAACTGCTGGTTGGCGTTGTTAAGTTTGGTTTTATCTAATGGAGCTCTGGTCTGATGCCATTTCCTCCTTAGTTGTCTTTTTGCAGAAATTAGGTCTCTTATTTCTTTAGGATAGTTATTTCCTGTTGTTCGCTGCACAATAGGTGGCGTATTTTCTCATGCTTTTTGTTGTATATTGGACATAAATAGTTCTACTTCTTCATCTAGCTGTGCTTTTGTTCTTAATGGAACTGAAAGATTGATTTTATTTTCAAGGTCCAGTCTGAAGCTTTGCCAGTTTGTTTATTAGTCTAGGAGCGCTTTCCTTTTGGATAGTGGTGTCACTAAAAGTGAGACGAATGGGCGAATGATCTGAATTCATGTCCCATGCCTCATCAACTTGGATGTAGTTTGCTGAAATATTTCGTACAACAAAAAAGTCTATTAGGTCGGTTATTTTGTTTCTATCTGTGAATTTAGAAATTAATACCGAAAATTTAAAAGACTTTTCTATCAATATCAATATGTTAATAATTGTTACAGAAATCTCTCTGACATTTGATCTAAACCATATATTACTCTCAATTTCATTCAGAAATCTCTTTGAAGTTCATACCTTATTATTTCGCTATTCTATGTCATAGAAAGTACATTCCGATGTTTGAATTAAATTTTGCTCCTGGCATATTATGTGTTATGATATTAATGTAAACAGTTTCCTGTATCTAATTCAAAATAGATACTTTGAATTATTGCTGCAAAATAATATAGATACATTTCAGACAACTATCTTATAGAATAAACATGATATAATAGTATGGAAAATTTATATCTCCCTTCGATAAAATAATTTAAAATTTAACTTCAGAGGCTTTATGAGAAAGTCGAGGAAAAAAGAGATGCACTTTTATTATTGCGGTAAATTCCTGCGTCTTATCTCTCTCTTGGTATTTAATTACATGCGGCGAGGACTAATTTCAAAAAGGTTCAAAGGATAGTTGGCTCCCTTTATTGTCAAACTTAATAGGTTAAAATGTTTCGACATATAATTTTAACTCCAATAGGTATTTTCTCATATATAAATTAATACCATTTAAGTTCAAAAACAAGTATGTGAACATTTGTTTAATTTAATTAAACTAGGTATTGCTTGTTACTTTTCTATCTGTATACAGATATAAGGAAAGTATAGAAATCATGATTTTTTTCGACCGATTTTTTGACCTATTTTGGCCCATACATTATATTTGTTATATGATATAAGAAATCTAAAAATTAACTTTCATTGATAATTTTCTAGGCCAACTGTATATTTATAGTTAAATCTTCCTGTGAAATGAATGTCTGTTAGTTCGAAATAATCGCTTTGATCTTTAATTTCCTTATTTTTTATTAAACAAAAAGTAAAGGTTAAAATATTTCATCCACATCTGAATTTTAATTATGTTTGCTATAAGCTAAATTTTAAATTTTTATACCGTGTTGTTGTTAACTTTTCGCTAAATAAAAATTCAGGCGATATCCATAGGAATTAGATACTATAGACCAGCGTTTCTCAAACTTTATGATGACGGAACCCTTTTGAAAAGCGAAATATTTGACGGAGCCCTCAAATAATATTAAACCTTATATTGGTTTAGATAGGTTTAATTTTATTTTGCAACCGCGGAGCATTTCTAAAAAAAAGTCCTCAATTAAAATTAGATCCTATCTTAATGAAACAAAAAAAAAACAAACAAAAAGACAAAAAACAAAAAAAACATAAAAGCAAAAAAACAAAAAAAACATAAAAGCAAAAAAACAAAAACAAAAACAAAAAAAGCAAAAAAAAAAAAACAAAAAAAAAACAAAAAAAAAAACAAAACGAAACAAAAAAAACAGAAAAAAAACAAAAAAAAACAAAAAAAAAACAAAAAAAAACAAAAAAAAACAAAAAAAAAACAAAAAAAAAACAAAAAAAAACAAAAAAAAACAAAAAAAAAAAACAAAAAAAAACAAAAAACAAAAAACAAAAACAAAAACAAAAAAAAAAGAAAAAAAAAACAAAAACAAAAACAAAAACAAAAACAAAAACAAAAAAACCAAAAAAAAAAAACAAAAGAAAAGGTCCTTAAACCAGGTCGTCTCTTTTATGGCGAACTTCCTCATACTATATAATAAAGATCTCTCATGAAGAGCCACAAGGTTCTATTTTTCGGCCTCTACTGTTCAATATATACGTCAACGATGTAACTGAAAATTTGTTCCCTTTTAAAAATATTCTTTTTGCCGATGATACATTTATTTCAACTAGAACAGATCAATCATGTATTTCAAATTCTAATAAGAGAATATAGTATTGAATTGTGAAAAAAAAAATTCTGTGCTAATAAGCTGATGTATCGTAATTTTGGATCTATTAGTTTTTCATCGAAAATTGATAGTGTCAAATTGTTAGTTATAAAACTTGATTGTAATCCATCATTAACCTGCCATATCTTTATAATTACTAAAACGTGTTGGTTTAGCCTTTGGCTTAATAAACAATTTTGAATGTTAAAAACCGGTATATTTTTTCATGCTCAGATGTGGTTTTTTTTTAGGCAATTCGTCAGAAGCAATTAAGTTATTTCTTACGCAAAGAAAGCCATAAAAATTAGTTATTTTCACTTTACCATCACTATTTATTTTTAATACAATTCCCCAAATGCATAAAATTAGTGCAAATCTACTTAACTTAAGCAGTCTGATATTCACAATTAAAATACCAGGCAAGCTGGAAATCGAAGGAAGAACTAGAAAAAGAAGGTTTGAATTCGGAAATGTATCTATTTTCTGATGATTCATCTTCTGCTATAATTTCTTCAATTTTTTCGTTAGAAAGTCAAATGTCAACTATGAAAACAGATATTTCTTTTAACATTTCCTTTCCTGATATGTCTTCCGTGAAAAACGAAATATCTTCTTTGGAAACTAAAGTTTCTTCTGATATCTTCTCTTTGGAAAACAAAATGTCTTCTATAAAAACTGAAATTACTGCTAATATTTCTTCCATTAAAAATAATATTTTTTCCTGAAATTTACTCTATGGAAAATTAGATATTATCAGTAGAGAATAAAATAATCTCTTCCGTTGAGGAGATAATAAAGCAGATGGAAAAGAAGATAGAAGAACTGGAACATACAGAACAGGCTAAGGGCGGTAAAATAAAGTGCCATGAGATGGAGTCAAAGTTGAAATTGGAAGGAGCTGTACATTGTGCTTGTGTTAAAGCCCCATCTTTCGACGGGAAGATGTCATGGACCAACTACCTTAAACAGTTCGAGGCAGCTGCGAGAGCAAACAAATGGTCTGAGAGAGAAAAGGCAGTGAAGCTGATAATCGCCCTTCGAGGAGACGCTTTAGATGTCCTTTATTTTACACCCGTGGAAGAGACACATGATTTTGAGCAACTCGGAAAGAGACTAAATATGCGATATCACAGTAAGAGAATCGTACACAGAAACGTGACGAGAGCCTTCAAGAATTCTAATTAGATATTGCGAAAATGGGGCGATTTACCTACCCATCAGCTCCGGAATACATAATTGAATGTTTGGCTGTTCAAGAATTTGTAGATGGACTTCTTGACCATGATATGCGTTTAGCCCATCACAAAACATTGATCGATGTCTTTTCCACTGCTCTTGAATATGAAGCAGCTACGCTGGCTTCTGGTGAATACAGTGAAAGAAGATGAACAGGGAAATAAACTGGACCAATTGTTTCACATGATAAAAAGCCTTATTGAGAAGCAACCGAAGACTATTAGGTGCTGGAATTGCGGTGAAATGAGAAATGTAAGCAGTTCGCGCAAACGCTTAAAGAACACTACGAATCAAAAAACCTTGCCAGTGGCTGTACAGAAAGGAACGGTGTTGCCTGAAAAAAGTAAAACCATAAGAGTGGCGCTGTTGTAAGGGATTGTAGAGAAAGAAACGCCTGTCATGGTGGAACCTTCGAAGCGCAATGAAGGTGTTGGTCAAGGAACTCTGATTGGAAACGGAGTGGCCACATCTGTTAAAGAAGTTACAGTAAGAAGAACGTCGGTTGTCAACGATGAGTGGGTCCCTTTCAAACTTAGGAAAGAACAAGAGAACAATCTCGTTTTAAAGAAGATAAGACAATGGAAAGAGAAAAATCGTTGACATACTTGGCAAGAAGTATCGAAACTATCTCTAGTAGTTAAATCATATTGGACTCAGTGGAACTCTTTTATTCTAGAAGAAGGCTTATTAAAGCGAGTACTAGATAATGATGATGGTTCCGAAAACAGAAGACAGTTGGTCATTCCAAAGGGTAGAGTAGCCAAAGTACTTATTACAAAGTAATAAAACCCTTCAGAGAGTTCGTGAAAGGTTTTAGTGGATGAACAGTTCCGATGATGTAAAGGACTGGTGTAAGAAATGTACCAGCTGTGCTATGAGTAATGGACCTCAACGAAAAAGGAAGGCTCCCATGAAGCAATACAACATTGGTAGACCATTTGAGAGGATCGCCTTAGATATTTCTAGACCATTCTTCGTGACCAAGGATGATAATAAATACATTTTAGTGGTTATGGATTATTTTACAGTGGGTGGATGTATACGCCATTCCAAATCAAGAGGCCGCAACTTTTGCAGATGTGTTGATAAAAGAGTTTATCTGTCGATTTGGAGTGCCCTTGGAGATCCACAGTGACCAAGGCAGAAATTTTGAAAGCCAATTTTGTGTGGAATCTGTGACAGACTTTGGCCATCATATTGCATTTAATTACCATAGCTTCCCTCCTACGTAAAATAGAAAACTTTTACAGTGTAATTTCATTCATTTCATTTAATTTTAATTTTAATTATAGTTCAGTAATAATCACATTCTTTACCCAGTTAGATGTTTCTACTTATAATTGTATTTTAACATTGTCAAACTTCACTGTTATTAACTTACGTTTAATTTGGTACTGTTATTTCAAACTAATCTTCAATTATTTTATTCCATTTTGGAATTCATTTTCTCAATTATGACTTTGTCAGTTTTCTTTAACTCTTTCTTTTCTCTTTCCTTTCTAATTTAACCTTGTTTCTTCGACTAGGTGCCATATCTGGGTCATGGTCTATTCACGTCTATTTACTTCAAGTTCTCTGGCCTACTATGTAGCTAGAGTCATTGCCCTTTATTCTACCCTTCAAATTCCGATGTTCAGTCATTTCCCAAAACCAAATGTACTTAGGTTTCTTAGGACATCGGTATACGTGGCCCTTTATCACCTTTTTTGCTGAAAAATGTTGAAGAATATTTTAAAACAATTGTCTTGGTAGTAGCTATTTAAGTCAAGACAAAAATGGTCGTTATATGACTTGTGCATTTTTGAATTTAGTAATTTTATTATCAATTCTATCAGGAAAATAATGTGCGATAATTTTGAAAAGCCTGACCTTCCGATTAGTTACCACAAAATGACAATTTTGTTATTATTCTTTTTTCCAAAATACTCATAAACACTCTCCATACCATTCCTCACGTGATATTTTTTCTAGATAATAACTCCACACATCCCTGAATCGTAAATTTATCACCTTTTGTGCTCAAAAATGTTGAAACATCTTTTAGAACAAAATAAACGCAGACGTGCCATAGTTCGGAGCCTGCCGACCTACTCTTCGGATATACTCTCCCGCTCGCCGGCTTTTCAGTCGCATCCAGTTCTGTATCCAGAAGGTCTGTGGACCGATCGACGTTTAAAATTCCCCTCTATCGCGCTTTTCTCGGAAAAGTCGGCAAAGCGGGAAATCGTCAAATCGCAAAATCGCTTGTGCGTGGGTATTCATTCGAACTACACTTTTGCTTTTTACAAATGCGGGATTGTTAGAATGTTCTAGTTTATTTTGACCGACCGTGTAGTGTGAGATATTTTGATTTATTGTTGTGAAATAAATTGTGGTTGGAGATTGTATATAAGAAGTTTGAGCTTTTATGGTATTTGTGGATTCTATTGATTTTTGAAAAAGTACGTTTCATTTTGAATAAATCACGATGATTTTTAATATTATCGGTGGCATATTCCAGAGAAGATATTTATATTATCATCCAGTTTATGAGAAAATTACAATATTGTTATTATAAAAACAACAATAGAAGTTTTCTTTTTTAAACGTTTGTTTAGAATCTAAAATTTTATTTAATTTGTATTCCTCGGTAGATTTCAATGAATAATTAAAATATATAATAGTATATTACATAACAAGAGTAGTAAGAAATTAATTACATGCGAGTAGAAAAGTTGCACACGAGCCGCGTTAGCGGCGAGTGTAGTAATTCTACGAGCATGTAATTGCTCTTACAACTCGAGTTATGTACTATACTTTATCTACAACCACATTCATACATTCATAATAAAAAAGCTTCCATAATCTATAACATTTATTAAATACAATAATTCATTAACATATCATTGATTCTTAGAATAATAATTAACGGTAAAATTTTGGCAATTTTGAATAATTATGGGTTCGTTAGTATTTTGAGGTATTTTATAAGAAGTAGATGGCACTGAAAGAGATGATGTAGATGGTGCAGAGGAATTAGACTCTATTTGATTGCTGTTATTTATGGTTTGAAGGATATTATAAGTAGAAATATTCTCATTTATTTCTGATGTGCTAAGTGGAAAATCTGTTTTTTCAATTGACTGGATAATTTTATGAGCCGTTAAAGTTTTACTATTTAATGAATTATCAACATATCCTTTAGCAGTCGTTGAGGATTTCCAGCCTCCATGCCTTTTTAATGCGAATAAATCACCACCTGCATCAATTAAAATTGTGGCAGAAGTTCTTCTTAAACAATGGCCGGTGTATAAATTGGGATTGGGCAAGTTTAAATATTGTTTGGGTACATTTCCAATTTTATTTATACCGACCACTTGTTTGGTGCATTTTCCTTTTTGATAGTTTATGAAAAATTGATTTGTATCAAGATTTTGTACTTGCTGGCGATGTTGCATATATTGTTTGCATATTTGATAAAAGGTTCCGTTAATCACAAAAGACCTGCTTATCTTAGTTTTTGAATCAGGTATTTCAATAATCAGTATGTCACCAACATCTCTTATATCCTTGATTTGTAAATTTTTTAATTCTTGTTTCCTACATGCGCCACAAACTCCAATAATTAGAATCACCTTAAATAAAATATTGAAAAGTAAAATCACTAGCCAATACTCAATTAACTGAAGGAAAATTGCTTTAGATACAAACCTTTGTTAATAAGTATTGTGAATCAGGAGCTTCATTTAAAAATTTACTTATTTCATCAAAAGAAAAAAATTTAAATTTTTTGCTTTTAAAACCTTCCGATTGCCTTTTTAGGAATGCCTTTAATTTTGGGTATGTTTCAATATTCACGTTGTTTTTTATGAAAATGACGGTCCTTAACATGGAATATATTGCCCATATTGATGAAGGTTTAAATTGTTCCATTAGGTCCCCAAAATATGCCAAAAGCACATTTTCAGAAAATTAATTAATCTTGTTTTTTATACGCCAGTCCATAAACTTTTGGTATACTATTTCATACCTTGTTCTTGATTTTGTTGGCAGTAATTTTTCAGTGGTATTGGCAGCTTTTTCAAGAATTTCAGGTGGAGTTTCTTGAAATTCATTTTCGCTATCTGATGAAATCATATTCATTTAAAAAAATAATGCTGTAACTACAAAAATGGCGATTTTATATTTCTGAAATGTCAAAACTTATGTAACTGTTATGTAATATATATATATATTACGTAATAGTTTTGAATTTCATTACGTAACAGTATCTGTAATGATGTATTTACTTATAAACAAAACGGTACATAATAGGCGATTTACTGGGGTGGTTGTAGATAAAAGTATTTACATATTTTACTGCACTGTTCATTTTTGTTGTTTAATAAGAATTGTAAATTCGCCATTACAAAAGGAGTAATTTAAAAAATCTGAACAAGAAATTGTATTTTTTTTTTATTTTACAGTAATATTCAATTTCAATCAAAATAGTTTATGTTCAATTATTCTTGAGCAATAGATTTAACAAAAAAAAACGTTTTTAGAAAATATTACAAGTGAAAATTGGAGAGAAATTTACTTAAAAACAGACATTAATGAAGCTTTTTGTACTTTTATACAAAACATACATAATTTAATAATAAAAAATACCGAAACAATATCTGTTACAAAAAAAGACTACACAAAAGGTGTCCGTGGATAACGAATGGATTAATAAAATCTAGAATAAAAAATATAGTTTAATTAAAATAATGAAAAAAAAAAACAAATACAGAAAACAAAAATAATTGCAAAAAATATAAAAATCAACTAAATAACTTGATTAGAGTTGCTGAAGCTAATTATCAAAATAATAATATTAATAATAATTTATTCACAAAAAAATACAATAATAATTACAATTACAAAGTATTACACAAATTTAAAAAACGGTTTCTGTGAATAAAATATACTCGATAAGCGTATAAATGCTTGTTTCGACAAAAAAAAACAAAATAAATATATTTAAATTCTAAAATAATATTTAAAAGTAACATAAACTTCTAAAAACGATTTAGAAATATTCTTGCAGCTACGATTAATTTCGTAATATATCAGTGCAAATATGAATAGATGGGTCCTGGGAAGAGAACAGATCATGTTTGGCTCACATGAACAAAAAATGTGATAATGAATGAACAGAAAATATAATAATTCCAAATTTATTCGAAATGAAGAATTAAAAAAGTATATTTATTGTTTGTGTTAAAATTAAATTGTCGTTTTAGACTGAAATCCTGAAAATCACCATGACAGTCAATGAGTTAAAGATGATACCTATCTACATTCTTATCATTTTTTCTGAAACATCAAAATATTAAAAATAAATAGCAGACAAATTCATCGTTTGCCTAACCATAGTACGTTTTTATTTATTTTTATATTTTTCCAAAAATGAAAAATAAAAAAATGCTTCAACGGGGAATTGAATTCTGACCGCGAAATCCACAGTTGAATGCTTAACTATCTAAACCATGAAGGCTTAATTTTAAATGAATTATCTAATCAAATGCGCGTATTAATCAGAAAAACATAAAAATATATTATTATGTAGTTAGAATAATAAATATTCAGGAAAACAATTGACTCAAATCGATTTGAAATGATACAGCTGTCATATTATATGACAGCTGATATGGATAGCGTCACTTTTCTATGTTACCGAAGGAAAAAGAAATTTTAAACTAATTCTTAAATTTTGCTTAAATTTGTGTGGAGT